ATTGTATTATATGATAAAATGATGCGTTATAAACTTAGTAGTACTAATATCCATCTACCATAATAGCAGAAAAGGGCCTACTGTATTTATCACTGTAAAATTCTGGCAACCACAGCTGCCAGTTTCCTAAAATAAAATTAACAGGTTTTTTCTTTTTTAAATTAATATATGAATACCATATAGTTTATGCCATTAATATGACTGTTTTAATGTACATTCACTAGTCTGTAATATAAAACATTACTTTATTCTTCATAAGTTTCCTTAAAATGTCAAATAAACATAAGGTTTTGCTATTTAATCTGACTGTTAATCTAAAATTTATAATGCAATGCAATGTTTTCACTGTTAATTGGGCTAGTTAGTCGACTTACACTGAATGTCTACAACCTGTAATCTAAAATCTTAATACACTTCACATTATTAGCACAAAAAACACTCACTGTTATGTAACAGTAAAATACTTGCAACTCTGCTTGTTATGTATCACTCAAAACACATCTCTTAGCCTGTTTTAAATTAAAGTTACACACAAATTATGAAATCGTTATCACCTCAGTAAACAATAAATTAATTGAAAGATTACAATAAATTCAATGGCAAATATTGCAAATTAAACTAATTATTTCCTATAGGTTTACTTGTAATTTGTGCTAAAATTCAAAGAATCTCATCTGTATTTACAATACATCTTGATTCTGCATCTCTACTTACAGCTCATTGGTCCATGTGAATGTTTACTGTTGCTATGGCAACAAGAGACTGCTGACGTTAGCAGCTCTTAGCTAGCTTAGCTAAATCATCTGAACAATAATAACCCATAATATCACAATTCGGCATATTTAAACAAAATCAACCACAACTACCAACATTCACAGCCCTTCAACTCTGGGCTAATATGTTGTCACAAGTAGGACTGTGCAGTTCATTAGGTCACATCACATTCAATGTAAAAACGTTTTCTACTTTGTTTTGGACACGTCTCAAAAATGTAGCCTAGCCAGCCCCCGGGACCAAATAGGTCCGTCAATTTAGAATATTTAGCAGCCTCCACCTCCAGAGACTTCAGACTTCAGTCGCAGTTTTTCAGCGCCACCCGGGCGTTTCTACCGCTTATCCATTTTCAGCTCAGCAGCAGCCCGTCCCGCGACTCCCGCCCATGCCATGAGGTCCCGCCCCACCCTGGTTTGTGTTGTGATTGACAGCACTGTCAGGGTTCTCTGAGCCTGTCAGCCCATGATGACAAACAATAGACCAATAATATGTGTCGATGCTGGCAACACACTGCTAGCCCTCTGTAGCCAATCGGCCGGCCCAATTGGAGGGAATTTAAAGAAAAAAAAACAAAACAAAAAAACATAGCTGACCGGACCGGCCCACATTGAGTCAACGGCCCACCGGGACGATGCCCGGTATGCCAGATGGCCAGTCCACCCCTGGTCACAAAGGAAGGTTTCCAACATCTAGTAGAATCAGTGCCACAAAGAAGTGAGGCTGGCCACTCTGTATTAGTAAGGGGTTCCTAATAATGTGCTAATAAAGTGACCTTCAAATAAGTGAACAAATTATCAAAGATGACATCTAGAAGCTCATGGCTCACTCTGCTCTCACAGCTCAGTCCCTAACCTGCACAACAGGTCTGTCTCACAGCAGCAGAAAAAACTGAATCTTAACCAGTAAAATATCTACGAAAACTTCTCATACACTCTGTAGACACTGGTGTTTTTTTCTGTACTTGTGAGTAAAATATCTATTATCTCCCCTCAGGACGACAGGCAACCACTAGAGGGCGCTGGTGCACACAGACTCTGCCACAGCCCTTTAAAGTATCTGCTCATGTTCATGTTTAGTGTGTCCATCTGTTTGTGGGACCATTTCCTAAACATAACAAACTGTGGTCGTGCTTTTTGTGTTTAGCACCTTTGTGGATTTTTTACTCTCTAACTTCTTTCTACCTCATAAAGTCGTATTATATTCAAATCTTCAAAATCTATTTTTACTTTATCATTTTTTTTTTCCATTGGATTTAATGTTGATGAAGCGTTAGTTTATATAAGTGGTGGTGTTGTCTGGTTTTATTGTCATCAACTTCATTATTCCACATAGACACCATCACTTTCTGATTTCTGACAAGTCAAAGATAAACAAGCATAATTTTTTTTAAACAGATTTCTGGAATGAGAAAAATATGTTTAAGTTCCAGACGTTGATCTAATTTAGATCAAACTGATGGATGCTCACACCTCTTAATGGCTTCTGGAATAAAACCAAACTTCCTTCTATTTGTTTTACTCTAAAATGTATTTCTAATGGCATCAGCTGAAAGTAGTCGTGGAGGACATGCGTTTTTTTTTTCCAAAGAATATTTATCGAGTTTTGTTGTTTTGTTTTGTTTTGTTTTTAACAAAAAACAACAAAGAGCTCAGCACAACATTGCTCTACACAATCAGCATTAATACGAATTACAGTTAGAAATGTATGGTGAAGAAAAACAAATAAAATGATTAATAACAATAAAGAAAACATATTAAAACAACACTTTTGCCCCTCCCTTTCCTTAAGTAAAAAAGCCATGAAATAACAGTATGTGCAAGGGATCTTAGAGTTTAGCCAATCATTTAGCAAAATGTGATAAATGTTCATTGAACTGATAGATTGATCAATTACACACAAAAATGTGTCTATAATGTCTCTAATTCCTTCATATTGACGATTGAGGAATGTAGTGTTCCACTTTATTTTATATAAAAACTATGTTGTTTCTCATGTGTATTGCAGTGTATTTAATTACCACTTCTATTTCACGATCTTTAACATTTGACAACCCTTTTTTCTAAATCAGGAATAATAACAAACACAAATACAAGTTTTAGCATCAAAGTAATTAATCCCAGATTGTAATTTGTTTATCACAACAGTAGGAAATTCACATGGTGCGCAGGTGTTACTAATACTTAATTAATGTTATTAGTCACACCTGTGCTTTCCCTACAATAACATGTCAAAGGTCTATCAACACACTAATGAGGACTAAAGACATCTGCAGTGTCTGACACATGAAACCAGATGAGACAAATCATCTTCATCATCAGCAACACAATGACATCATGGGCTTTCTTCTCCAGAAATACCTCCATTTATTTCTCCTTTTGTACAGTTTGATAGAAAAACATAAAACAAGCTCAGAAAAAAAAACTGCATATAGTGTAACTTAAATTTTTTTGCTACTTAAAAGGAAGTAATTAAATTTTTTTTTTTAAATTAAAAGGGGGAAACTCGTTTTCTGCTATCAAGCGACGTCACTTCCGGGATGTAGGGGTGAGCAAAATGACAGCTGGTTGTTTTCATCAACAAGGGAAATTCAAAGTAGACATTAAAGGTATGTAGAAAGATAACCTGCCATTTTATCAGTGTTGGACACGGTGTCTTGGCGCGCTGTCATTAGCTGGTGATAACTGAGAGTGTATTTATATCGCTGCCATCTGTAATCCATCTCCGGCTCCATCGAGCTGCTGCTGCTGCTTCTGCTGCTGCTGGGGGTCAGACTCACTGATGCCGAGTCTGGACTAGACACTGCACGACTGTCAACTAAAAGGCATTTTGCACTTATAATCCCCAAAATTATAAATTGTTCTCTGTAGCTGGAGGTGTAATGGAAAAGTGTTGTTATTGTGCGTACGGGTTTAGCTCTGCACGGTCTAATAAAAATAACCAAACTTCATTCACAAATCTGTCAATTCTGTGATTTATGTGCCTTATCGGCCTATGTATAAAGCTACAATACCACTATAAACACTTTACTCATCACTAAGAGTTATACATTAACTCGGCATAAATCTCATAGAAGAAGAAAAACCTATAGCTGTAAAATATCAACTTTTATGACGGGTCTGCCTGTTGTTGCCAGGATAATTTTTCACCTAATCGATGTGACCTGATGAGGGGCAGCAGCTGGTAAGGCACGAAAAAAAAGTAAATATTTTGCCTAAATAGCTTTTGTTTTGTCAAAAGGGAATATGCCGAATCCATAAGAACTTAATGCTGAATCTCATGTTTGCATAGTTTACAAACTAGTCCAAGTGTATATTTACTTATAAGCAAAGAAGTATAAAATTACGAGATTTTTCAAGGGCGTTTGGTTTTGCGGGCTCCACGTAAAAACAGCCTGACTTCATCCAAAATATGTGACTTTATAGGTGCTTGAGTCATATTGGCGGATGTACAATGTAACAACACCACTTAATATCTTTAAGGAATCATCAATAGTTACACTTTAATTCGGGGTATATGTAAGAGAAAAAGTAGGACGTGTTGCAGCAAAATCCCAACTTTTGTAGTCGGTTCGTCTTTTGTTGCCGCGATCATTTTTTACCCAGTGACAACGAGGGGATTAGTGGTAAACCACAGTTGAAAAAGTTGGAATTTAGATTATATAAGTACTTCTCTGTCAAAAAGATTATGCCGAATTTATGAGAACATCACGCTCAATCGTTTCCATCGTGTTTTACAAACTGTTTTAATCTGTACTTTTACCCACAAGTGAAGAAATGCTAAATTGACTGATTTCTTAACGGCGTTCGGCGTGGCGCCCTTCACCCTCAAAACACCAACCATTGATCATATTTATACTGTCAGTGACAGATAATTGTCTTATCTCGTTAAGCCTTGTTGGGAAACACTTCTGTCTGGTTTGTGTCTGTGTGGTGACGGCTGTCACAGTTAACACTCTGCTCAAATGTGCTTCTTTTAGTTCTGTTGATATTGGCAGTTGAATAACCAGGAAGAAAACAAGCAGAAACTGCTCTTTGACCTTGTTTGTTCTCCAGTGTCATGTGGTGAGCGCCTCCCAAGTCCTGCCTCTGCTGGCCTGCACAGACCAAATCCTGACAACTGACCAAAGAGGCTCCAGCATTTCTTCTGGGGACGTCTGTCAGCCCGAGCAGCCACTCTGGAGTAAGACAACACTCACAGAGCTGTCGAACCTGTCTTTAATCTCCCAACATAGACAGCCTTGTCTTGTGTACAAGTTTTGACTTTTCCGTTTTCAATTGCACTTAAATTGAATGAACAAACATGCCTCAGTGGATCAGGCTTCTCCTGATTTCTTTGACAGGCCATCATCAGCACAGAAAAAGAAGAAGACGGTGAGCAGAGACATTGGTCAAATCAAGGGGGACGTCTCTTCAGGTAAGACACTTTCTGTCGTAACTTCTGAACTGTAACCATGTACAGTTGGAGATTACAGAAACATAAAAAAAAACAAAACAGATATGACTTCTCTCAAACAGGACACCCGGTCAGACACCTAACAAATGTGTATCTTATGTATTAAAAAAATAAATAAATAACTGCAGCATCAAAGCAAATAACGTGATTCATTCGATGAAGAGTAACAAATTGCTTTCATACGTTACCACAATTTACTGCAGCCCATTTTTAGTCAAATAAGATATTGTAACAAGATCCTTTTATTTTTTTATTTCAGCAAGAACCACTACATAATTTATGCTTCCCTGCAGCAGATTCCACAGCGAGGCTCTACCCACCGAGCGTTTTAAGACTAACAGACACTCGTCATTTTAATTATAGAAACTTAAGTGATACCTCGGGTCATAAGGTCCCTCGTCACGTTTTTCTTTTTTTCCTTTTTTTTTTTCAAGTTCAGCAGAAAGATCAGCTTTCATGTTTCTCTCCATCGGGCAAATTCAGGAAGATTTAAATGGGACAGTGTCTCTGTGGTTTGCTGATAAAGAGCTGAGGACACCTCCTTGTGTCCCTCCCTGCTTCCACTATCATTTTCTGACTCTCTTAAAAAGACACGCAGACATTTATCAGGCTGGACAGCATTGAACCATCAGCTGTTCTCTTCCTCTAATGTGGGTGTAAAGAGTGTTTTGTTCTACTTGGAACATATGTTTTTGTTTGAATGGCTGATTTGTCCAGACTTGAAGTGAGAAAATGAAATTGTTTAGTGATGAAATATGGTCTTAAAATTAATTTACAACAGTGGATTAATTGGTGAAGCTAGTTGTCAAGCAGAAATATGCCGGGTACGCTCTGGTTCCAGCCTCTTTGTTGTGAGTATTTACTGCTTTTCTTGACTTTTTTCCTCGACATCACTCTGGGCTGTTCATTATTTCACTTCACTATTCTCTGAAACTTTAATTGATCAATCAAAAATCTAATGGATTAATTAATTAATAATGAAAATAATCATGATTTTCAGCCACAAACTTACAGTGAGAAAAATGTAGCCATCGATTTAGCATCTAGCATCATGTTGGACATAAAAACAAAACAAAACAAAACAAAACAAAACAAAACAAAAAAACAGAAAAACATTCTTCTTTCTTGTCAAAACCTGGCTCCTACGTTACCCACAATTCAATTCCACCACTGGCAGTTGTCAGAGATTCTGGTGCGTTATGCTAGTATAGTGGCTAACGTAGCTAGCCTGCTAGCTTCAAGGAGAGGGCTACAGAGGTCTGGTAAGATCACAGAAAAAACATCTTTATTATTTCACACATTCTTCTTTCTTGTCAAAACCTGGCTCCTACGTTACCCACAATGCAATTCCTACACTGGCAGTTGTCAGAGATTCTGGTGTGTTATGCTAGTATAGCGGCTAATGTAGCTAGCCTGCTAGCTTCAGGCAGAGTTGAGGAGCGGGCTACAGAGGTCTGGTAAGATCACATGTTTTCTAACTCCACACATCAAGAGTTTTTAAATGATCAGACCAAACTGATGCTGAGTCAAGTGACATTGCTCGAGGAAATTTATCAGACTTCACACAGCTAGCACCATAAACTTTTGCCAGCTAGTGTCAAATTGATCAGTTATAGCTTGATAGTAATGTTTTTGTAGTTCGGGTTTTTAGCATGGAAGAATTTTTTTTTCAAAAAATGGTAAAAATAAATTAAAAAAAAACCCCTCTAAAATGCATTTTTGAGTGATCCTCAGTTCATTATATAATGAAAAATCAGAGCAGAAAATCAATTTATGTCCTCAGTATTTTTCTGGAACTTTGTTTTTACATTACATTCTAACAATATATTTAATTTTACTTCATTTAACATGAATTTGCAGACATTTGTTTGATGTAAAATTTTTAGATGAACTGTCCAATTCCATGTGTATATATATATATATATATATATATATATATATTAGAACTCAAAAAAAGAAAAACTCAAAAACTTTTAAAATGTGTTTTAAGTGATCCTCATTACATTATATAATGAAAAATTAGAGCAGTAAATGTTTTGGTTCATGTTAAATATGGTAGTTTTTGTTTTGATCTCTCTCTTTTGAAAGAAAACCATGGCACTATGAGCAATAAGCCTTTAGTCTGACTTTCAACCAATGATGTAAGGCAGTCTGAGCAGGAGCTGCTATGATTGGTTGATTAATTGATTAGTTTTTTGTAAACAGCAAATCTTTTATTAATATAATCAGTTTGTTGATGCAGAAGCAGTCAGAATTAACTATATTATTTATAATGTAATGTAATGTCACCTAAAGTTGTTTAAACTCCCAAAACAAAGTTCTAGAAAAATACTGAGGACATTAATTGTTTTGTTGATTGGAAGAAGAAACATTTGTTCTGATAATCAATAAATTGATGATGAGCATTTTTCACTATTTACTGATGTTTTATAGCCCACATTATTCATTGATTATTTGAGACAGTAATCAGTAGATTTATTGATAAAGAAAATGATCATGAGTTATAGCCCCTGTAGTGCGGGATGTAAACATGTCCGAGCTGACAGCCAATCACGTCTGTCTCTCTCCCACGCTGCTGACCAGCTGAGGTGGAGGCTGTTCATCGGGACGGAGCCATGGAGCCACCGGAGTATAAAAATGGTCGCACCTTTGTGGAGGTGATCAGCGAGAAGTACAGCCCAGAGAACTTCCCATACCGCAGAGGACCCGGTATGGGGGTGGTGGTTGTGCCCACCGTGGCTCCTCAAGGTTCCCCTATGAAAGGTGAGGCTTCGTAACATGGACAGATGGATGTGGGCACGTCGCTTTCAGATGACCTCACAGCAGCCTTCATAGGATAGCCATGACTGTTTATATTTGCAGTGGCTTCAGAAAGTATTCAGACCCCTTCACTTTCTTCACATTTTAGTGTTTAATTTGAAATGGACAAACTTTTTCCCATAAATGTACAATCGATAACCCATAAGTAAAAATACAATTATTACTATTATTATTAAATATTTCAGCAAATGTATTAACTTAAATCTCTCATTTACAGAAGTATGTAGACCCTTGATTCAGTTCACTTTGTAGAAGCGTGTTTGGCTGCTGCAGACTTGAGGAGTTGTGGATTTGAACAGCCCTCAGTACTACGCAGACTTCCTGGGGACACGCCTGTTAAGTCCGGACATTTGGATTCAGCCCTTGTCTTCTTACTGCAATGCATTATGGTCTTTTAATGTTGGAAAAATTAGACCCATAAATACAAGATTGCATCCTGTCTTCTCTTACTAGACTTCACAATAATACCAGTTGCTGCAGTTTATTCTGGGAACTTGGCTCTTATCTCATCATTGTTTGTAGCATCAGAACATGACTATATTAATTTAGATTAGTGAATTTTCTGTTTGAATAAATCACAGCTTTATTTGACTCATTACATGTAATCTTAAGGACATATTACCCAACTTAAAAACCCTAGAAAACCCTCTTTTTCCCCTCTGTTCGACTAATTCCCTCCTCTCCCACCTCCAGACCGTCTGAACCTGCCCAGTGTGCTGGTGTTGAACTGCTGTGGGATCAGCAGGGCAGGAGACCAGGCTGAGATCGCTGCTTTCTGTTCCCATGTCATGGAGCTGGACCTGTCCCATAACAAGCTGCAGGACTGGCATGAGGTGCAGTTTATGGGTTTATTACAATAGTTAAATCCCAATAAAGGATTAAAAGATAAACAATTCAAAACCATCAATGAAATGATTCTACTAAAGTAAATATATAGAGATTCATTGTTGGAAACCAAGCAGCAACTTCCAGGGCTGAAGTGCCAGAAACTGCAGTTCTTCTAATGACCACTAGAGTCTGGCTCCAACAGTGAGTCAGTCCCCATAGACTCGCATGTTAAAAAGTCCAACTTCACAGCAGAAATAAACATTTTTACAGCCTGGTACAGAAACAGTTATGGTCTCTTTAGCTAATTTCCTCCTTGTTTTTATATCTCTTTTATATAACTCACCCATTTACATTTTATTAAGGCTGAAACTTATACATAATTGAGGGTGTGGCCTCTTTGAGTGAGCGTATGCTTGCCACAAACCAGCATGCACCAAAGTCTCGACTCCACCTCTTCGCCCATTTTTGGATTAGCCAGGAGTTAGGAGGCGGAGTCAGGAACTACCAAGATGGCGACGGCGGGGCAGCTCACTCTGAGCCTCAAAACCGCTCTTCAGAAACCTGTCTGTGACGTGTTGCCTCATGATTCAGTCTCACTCTCACATGCACTATCCTGCTGCCAGAAATACTCACTACCACACTACATTTGTGTTAATCTGCAGCTGATATTCCCCAACAAAAACACCATTTCCTCCTGTTTGAGAGACGGCTGTTAAAACGTACAGCGCATAGCTATTTTATGAAATTACTGAGGCGTGTTTAAAGATTTATGTCTTCAGTTGGAATCAGTGTGCTTGGAGCAGAGGGTGACAGAGAGGGTACGGCAGTCAGAAAGCTGAGAGACAGACTCTGCACTGTTGATTTCAGTCTTTTTATGTAATTTGTTTACAATAAGTAAAATAAAATAAAACTCATCCTGTAAGTGTTACCAAGGAAATGACCCAACAAAATGGACAAAATCTAAAAACACACTTGTTGTTTTCAGATCAGTAAAATTGTGTCCAGCATCCCAAACCTGGAGTTCCTGAACCTGAGCTCCAACCCTCTGGCGGGAATGACCCTGGAGCCGCGGTGCGCCGAAGCCTTCTCCCGGGTCCGACGCCTCGTCCTCAACAACACTCAGGTGTCCTGGGACACTGTGCTGCTGCTCACTCGGGAGATACCTGAGTAAGAAGAACTGTCACCTTAGATCAGAATAAGCTGGCTTTAATTCCAAGCAGGATGTTCATTATTTCATAATTCATTATTCATTGAAACTTAATTTAATACCATAAATGGTCAGTTTAATCAAATGAGAAAAAAAAACATTATTTTCTCACTTACTCCAGTAGCTGTGTTTCAACATATCTGCCTCAGTCACCACTTCAATTTAATGGAAGGGAGATCAGTGAAAAATGAGACCTGAACTCAGCAGCAGCAACATATCTCTCCAGAAAGAATGTCCCTGTTACTCAGGATGATCCAAAGACCACTGCATGAACAGAGCCATTTGAAATATTACATTTTTATTTATTTTTTTAAAATAATGGCACTGAAAGAGAGTTAAATATATAAATAGCAATTCTTAATAATAAATGTTTCTCTCATGTTTTTTCCTGTAAAGTAATCATCTCACTTCCAGACAAAACATAGATAACTTAATATAAAATGAAATAAGATAAACCTTTATTGATTTCTAACAGGGAATTCTGGTGTCACAGATAAATACAGAAAAAAGTACAATTTTACTCTTTATAATAATAAAGAAATAAGGATAGAAATACAAATAAAAACTAAAATATAACAGCAATTTGAGCCAAGCAGTGTGCATTATAGACAGTGGTGTTATGTGTGTAGTTTACTAATCATTTTTACATGTGTTATATAATAATGTGTGCATAATGTACTGCAATTTATTTATATGTCAGCGTAAAAGTAATAATATGATACAAGAAACTCTAACAGTGTTCAATAGAACATCATAGGACAAGTAACAATTAAAATTATAAAAATATTAAAACTTATAGAAATATAAAAATAATACAAATATGTACGATTTACAAAATGAAATACAAGAATGTAACAATATATAAGAGAAATAATGTAATGATATATTATAACATAAAATAGAGAGTATAGTATAACATGAAATCTAAAATATGATGATCAATAAATAATTGATCAAATATAAAGGGAGGGAGAGAAGTGGCCGAACTGTTTGGTTTTTATATCAAACTCACTCTTTTATAATCTTCGTCCACTTCTAAACATCAAGGTCCCTAAAAAGTTAAATTACCACCCTGAGACTGAAGGAGGAGCCACAACAAAACTGCCACCTACAACTATGTAATCTAGGTTCATCGTGTAAAAAGATGTTGTCGTTGTCCTTCAGGCTGGAGGAGTTGTTCCTGTGCCTTAATGAGTACAGTAGTGTGAGTGCCTCCAGCGTGGCCTGCCCCACCCTGCGCCTGCTTCACATCACCGACAACAGCCTCCAGGACTGGGCCGAAGTCCGCAAGTTTGGTCCCATGTTCCCCAGCCTGGACACTCTGGTCATGGCCAACAACAACTTGGCTTCCATTCAGGACAACAAAGACATCCTGAAACGGCTCTTCCCCAACCTCCGCAGCATTAACCTGCATAACTCAGGTCAGGAGGCCTGGGCTGGTTTAGTTTCATATGATGGTTTCATTTCAGCAGGAGACTTGCTCTTGATTCTTCAGCACACAGGAAACCATCCCAAGTTACAGTATCAGCATTCGTATGTGGTGACTTGACAGCTGATAAAATTAGCACAAGCAAACATGCCACTGAACCCTAAAATCTTTATGTTATTTGTAGAGTATTACAACAGATTCCTGCTCGGCTTTTGTCTCAGGAACTGTTTCTATTTTGGACGGTATCAGTGGCAAATCTATTTTTAGAGTCCTGTTGAGAGTAGAAGGGAACAGAGACCATGTGAAAAGACGTGTTCAAATCGACTTCAGTGCGTCTGCGCCTGAGGCTCAGAAAAACATCCTTCTTTTGTCTCTGATTATTTTTTTTAAAACAAAAACATACTCTGCCTACAGACTGAGATAAAGTCACATTCCACTGGTTCATGGGTTTTTAGAAGCTTCAGTGAGACAGGAAATAATAAGGCATCAAAGGCTGCAACATAGGACAAACTTAAACCATTACTTTATATTTTCAACAGTTACAAAGAATGACAAAAACCAAACATGCATTTGTCTGTATCATGTCTGTGGATCAAAATATATAGTTTCAGGCCGGAGTCGTGTTGTTTTCGAGTTGTACGTACGTTCTTGTGGACACGATATCTCAATATCACCAGGACGGAACGTCTCCAAATTCGGCACTAACAGTCACTAGGACTCAAGGACGAACTGATTAGACCTTGGAGGTCAAAGGTCAAAGTCACGGTGAACACTTTTTAGCCATTACTCAAGACTTCACACAGCACGTATGACAAAATTTCACACAAATGGTTGTTATTTTATACGACTGTGTATCCCTGTAACAGGGATGTAATTTGGTGCTCTGTTGAGTATTTACAGCAGCAGGACGGTGTGTGTAGGATTGAGTTGAAATAAACGAGTGTGTGTGTTCATGCTAATGAAGGAACATGTGGCTCTCTGCTGTTTTGTTACTAGCTGAGGTGCTAGCTAAACAAAACTGTCATCACAAACAAAGCATTATTTATTTATATTTAATAATTAGAGCAATAATCACAGCAGGGGGAGGGTCGTAGTAATAGCTGCTTTCGGTTTGCATCTCTCTCTCTCTCTCGTTGACTGACCCTTCACTTCCACAGGAAATGGAATCAGGGCAGAAAGTTCTATAAGTGACTATAAGATCTGTTTATCGATCTCCTCCACTCAGTTTAAGAAGGCGACTATAACAGGACGACACCTACGCACAAACAACACTCCACACGCTCCAGGCGTCACTGCGTCGCTGCAGACAAGTGATTTAAGAGTAATTAAAAGACAGAACAGATAACAGATTTATATACAGTATGTACACATATGCATGACTTGTTCTTGTGTGCTTTGTCAGGTCTAAACCGATGGGAAGACATCGAGAAGCTGAACTTCTTTCCCAAGTTGGAGGAGGTGCGACTGCAGGGCATTCCCCTATTGCAGACCTACACCAACGTGGAGCGACGCAGCCTCATGATAGCACAGTGAGTCCCGTCAGTGAGGAATGACCTCCTCCACAGCAGCTGGAGAGGTTGTTTCGTTTTGTTTTCTCCCACCACTTGACATTGAATGAGACATTTCTTAATTGTTGAAGGTTCACAGTGTCACAAATATCTGTTACTTCGCTGCTTCTCCTCAGGCTTCCTGCAATATCACTGCTGAACGGCAGCGTTGTGTCTGATAGTGAGAGAGAAGACGCGGAGAGGTTCTTCATCCGTTACCACTTAGACTACCCTGAGGAGGAGCTGCCTTACAGGTACGCTGCCCACACTGTCTAAACTCCAGCTGCAGAGGTTATGTTCTGGTGTTGTGTTTGTGTCACGTACGTGTGTGTGCAACCGGCTCTGTGCCTCCTCAGATATCACATCCTGGTAACCAAGTACGGGAAGCTGGAACCACTTGCCGAGATTGACCTCCGACCCCGCTGCCGTGCGCAGGTGGAGGTTCACTGTGAAGAAAAAGTGGAACAGGTGTGTGAAGCATTTCATCAGCTACTGTTCTGAATAGTTCTGGTAAATAAACAGCTGTTAATGCTAATGTTGGCTATGGAGCTATAGCAAAATTTACATATAGCTCCTTTAAATAGACTTGAAAATAAGTGGTGCAATCCTTTGTTGTTTTTGATTTGGATGTGATCATTCTGAAAATGATTTGCTTAAGTCTGATGTATTTTCTTCTTTATTAGCTTGTTAGCGGCCTAACAGTACAACATTCGCTTATATATCTTGTAGAAGCTAACATTTGGAGCAGCTGGTAGTTGCTAACATGAGCATGGATTGGTAAAATAGCCACAAAACTAAAAGCAGTAAACCCCTAAAATTGTTGTTCTCTGATCCTCATTTCATTTAAAATCTTTAGTTTAGCACATTGAGACAATATTGATGAAACGTTACATGATGATGATGATGATACAGTTTTAACATATAAATTGTGATTCCTGTAGAAAGGGTTATTTAAAGTTGAATATTTGACTTCCAATCATAACAACCTTTCTGACCTTAACTCAACGTTGAATTAACAACTTTTGCTTTTAAGTTTTGTTAAAATTTCCCCTTGAGAGCCTCCATTAGGTCCTGTGTGCAATTTTAAGAAATACCAGAAATTTAGAAGCAATCTGAGGTGCACTGTTTATAGGTTTCAGCACAGCTTCATGTTTTTATTGCTTATTATTGTCATGGTTTTGTCTGATATACTTAGAGATTTGCTATTGCTGAAATAGATATCGATGACACATTTAGGTAAATGATACTTAGACTAGGAAAAGATTTGAAATTAATTGGTGTATTATTGAACTTTAATTTCATGGCCAGAGGATTGTTTGCATTTTACCGTCAGTATAAATATTTTCTACTGCATCAACCGTTCTTCTTACATCTGTGCAGAATTAGAAACTGATGCGTTCTCTGCGTGAAATAAGTGTCCGTTTACTGCCTAAAATGTAGAAACTGTTCCTCTTTGTTTCAGCTGAACATCCGTTTGGACCAGACAGTAGCTGAGCTGAAGAAGCAGCTGACGACAGTGGTGCAGCTCTCCGCCAACAGCATGAGGATCTACTACATCGACAAGTGTAGCGCCTTCGGTCCAGAGGAGATGAAGTACAACACCCGGGCTCTCCACTCCTACAGCATCCAAGACGGTGATGAAATACTGGTGGTACCCAAGGCCAAATGAACAGCGGGTATCAAACTGGCTGATTAGAGTGACTCCTTGATTGATTGATTCATTGGATTATTTATTTATTGGTTAAATGACATTGCAAAATTATTGGAAAACGCATATGGAACAGCATCCGCGGCCCAGTTGTTGGAGTGGAGAAGTTAAAAGTGAGGTGAACACCATCAGGGAGACAGTACAGTGGACTACAGTGGGCTGCTGGGAGGCTCTGGCTGGAGAAGCAGTCAGTCTGGAGAGTATTGTGTCTTTATTTATTTCAGCTTTACATGAGGGCATCCACCGGAGCAAATGCACAAATCTGTCACGGTGGAGAACAGGCCGAGAGAGCAACTCGCAGTCAGCTTGCAGCTTAAGTGGAGGGGAGGGTGCTGCTATTACCAGCAAAGCTTTGCTGCAGATCTATCTCTTAGTACACGGCATGTACCATAGCACCTGCATAGGCAAGCATCCAACACCACTGGCTTGCCCACTTATTGCAAAGGCTACCCCGATTAGTGGTGAAGCAGTGCTGCTGGACGGAGAGGGACTGCTGTTCTCATCTGCACTTTTACTGTAGGCAGAATATCAGGAAGAGCAGTGTCTGTTAAAGGAAACATCCGGCCTAAAATACTGCTAAATGTAGAAGCTGGGGGGGGAACTAGCAGTTTTTGAGCCTATTTTGTTGTGAGTTGGTGTTTTCCAAGTATTTCTGTGGATAATTGGCAACATTAGAAGATGATACGTCACATTTAAAGTGTTTGGCACAAGGAGAAAGGGATTCTTTCTGTACACAACATCTCTTTTAAATCCTAATAGCAGTGGTTCTCAAACGTTTCCCCCCTTCAGAGGCTAAACCATTTTTATCAATCATTAACGATCACCTCTTTTAGACAGAGATCCTGGTATATTGTCGTTAAGAACTCCCCTCGTTACACAGACTTTGCTTGTTTACACTGAATCAAAGAAAGCCGACATAAGCCCCTGTGTGTGATTTTAAATAACATGTCGGTGTTCTTAAAATCAGAAATCGGAGACGTGACGTGTAACACAGCGGCGTCAGCTCTCCCTTCTACACAGACGTCAGTTCAGCTCCGTGAATACGCCACTACCGGTTTACAGGTATAACCACCCCCCCCCCCCCCCCGATATTTATTTGTAGCGAAATAAATATCAGCACAATAGCATCAGCAAAATACATAAATCATATTCGTTCAACTTAGTTTCACTCCATAGTTTTCCCTGGTCATCCACACGGCCCTTGTCGCCCCCACAGCTTGAGAGCCACAGCCTTATAGGACCCCCCCCCCCCCGACATGTTTTAAGACATATATAAATCCTTTGCTTTAAACAACAACATGTCTGATATTAATTATCATTATGAATATGCAAATAATGTTCATTATAAACTGGATACAAAATGACTCCGGTGTATATGAACTGGAGGCTTCAGGTTTCCACTTTACACTCGTATAGGTTGCATACTGGACCGTGATTTGCCTCCAAGCTCGTTGTGATGTCACAAAGTCATCTCGTACGTACTCGTGTTAAACTGAGATCTAAAGTGAGCTCAGAGAAATTGTTGTTGCCCCTTCAGCTGTTGAATATGGAAACAGTTTTCCGGTGTCAAACTCTGCACAGTGAAGGTCAAACATCTGAGTGAAGTAACAATAAGTAAAACACATTATTGAGTCGAGGGAGACTTTAGATATAAAGGAAAATGACACCACTTTATGACAGAATGGCTTGAGGAGTGCAGTGATCATTAACTGAAGATATCTAACACTATAAAACAGGTTACCACACAGCAGCTGTTGTGTCATGCTGTGTGCTGCCCCCTGCAGGCTTCATCTGTGTCTTAGATAAACATTAAGAAGTGACTGACACACACACACACACACACACACACACACACACACACACACACACACACACACACACACACCAGGGTTCCTAAAAGACAATCTCTAAAAGACAATGCATGTTTTGCATTGGAGCAGTATAAATGCATCATGTCTACATTTGAAATATTATTGTTTATATTCGGACCATCTTTCTTCAGTTGAACACATTCTGTGTGCAAGTTCTCCACTAACTTGTGTGTGTTTATGGCCATTTAAATGAAATATGGAAGCAACATGGTTTCAGTAGTTCCCCTGGTTATTGTTTCAGATTATTATTGTGCATTTTAAGAGGACAGCGTTCAGTTGTGCTTCATTTTTTTCTTTCACAAGAAGAACCATTGCTTAATTTCTTTAATTACTTACATACGATCTTGCTTTACGGACATTTAAATTCTTATTTATAATTTTGTCAGTACAGTTTATAATCCAGAATCATACTTGAAATGATGCTGAATGCATTTATGTGCATCTTTAAAGGGGCTTAAGACTCTAAACTTTTTTACACTTCTTGTAAAACTTTCCTGTTTTACAAGTAGTGGAGTATCTTATAAAAGATACAGTTATCTATGCTACCCAGTTGCATTATGGGAATGTAGGAACCAGTAGTTTTTTTATTTGACCCATACTAGAGACAAAAAGTGAGAATATCTTGGACTCTGCTGCTTAAACGTTGACCTTTGACCCCCAACAGAATGGAAGTACAATACTAAATAGCTGGAGGGCCGATTTAAACTGCACATTATTCTTCTATTAATCCTCCACATTAGTGTTTTATCTCCCACACAGAAGTGTATTTTACATTTCAGTCCATTCTGCACAGAAATACTCTCACCAAAGATAGCTCAAGAGGATATTATCGTTGTGATGTGGAACGCATACAGTATGTATTGATTGTAATATGCAGCCTCCACCTTGTATAAGAGGAGCATTGATGTTAGATGTTTGGTGCTATTGTTTTTTTTTTCCTATAGCAAGCTACTTAGCAGAGTAAGGGACTCCTGACACAGTATTACAGCTGAAGAAACAGCTGATTCGCCAAGCCACAGAATTAAGTGTTCACATTTAGTGGCTGATTGGAAACAAATGTGTGTTTGAGCTGCAGCTTCAGCTCATTCACTGTTGATAGAAAACTCAGCTTATTGTGCTTTGGCCTCTTTTTAACACTGTTGTTACCCTTCAAAAGTATCAATATTTAAAGTATTTAAATGCCACAATATTTCCAACACTATTATTATTTACTAGTGTTACACACTGCTCTACTTGAACATTAAGGGATGTGATATAATTAGACTAGTAAGGAGTCAATATAAGGGTGTAGCAATGAGGAGGTAGAATATTCAAACCTGTTTCCCCAGTTTATCCCCAGTAGTGCTGAGTAAATGTTAGTGTAGCATGAACCACAGCCATAGACACCAGCACAGAGAGGCAGCGGCGCAGTGCTGGGCACCGACATCCGAGTCTGGACTGGAGTGTTGCGTTATTGTGTCTGTGCTAATCAGTGTGCGGTTTGTTTGAAGTGAGCACATGCAGTATGCAACCGTTTGCAGGGTGTGTGATTTTAATGGTATGCATGTTATTTATTGATTTTATGTGTTTGAGAGGAAAGCGGTCACGCTGCCTGCTTAGACTTATGGAATAATGCACTTGATGGAACTTTTGTTTTACATGAAGACAGAGGAAAATATTTTAAGTCTTGATGTAAATTTATTGTTTACATGTTGAATTCATCAAGATTTTCTTTTCTTTTTTAGGAACATTATGTCATGATGTTATTTATTGTGTCTCTTGCTTACTGCTACAAGCCAAAAAATATTGGCTAAGCCATTTTACAGCCCTTAAAGCCCCTGAAAATTTAATTTCAGATTTTAAGTATTTCTCTGTAACATTAAAAATTGATGAATAATAAAGCAACAAAGTTAAAGTTAGGGTTAAAAACATCCGCAGTTATTATTTATTATGAGTTTAACAGCCCAAAACTCAGCTGATCTGCTTCGTCTGGACTGTGCGAGTGTGGTTTCACATCAGACTTGATTGACAGTGGCGACATAAAAAAAAAAAAAAAACGACTCCAAATGTCATCACATTAAATTTAGTTTGATCCAAATATGTGACATCACCTTTTTCCTAGACTCACCCAGTCAAACCAATGAGAAGAAATCAGACAAAACAACGACCTCATCGCTTGCAGTAAGAAAATGATTGAGAAATAGGTTTTCAGGGCCTTTAAAGGGAAACTCCACCCTAACCCTTTAACAGCGACTGGCAATGTACTTTTTGTTTCTTCCTTCTGTTGCGTTTTTATTGGTTTCATTACAGGTCAGATAGACAACAGCAGATCATATTCAGATGTTCCCTGCTCAGCTAAACCGTCAGCAGTGAGCATCAGGTTGAGTTTTAAATGAATCAAACTGTGAGGCCTTCGAGAGCCGCCTTTTATCTATCAGTTAACAATCCTTCAGGGAGACTCACATTTTGGACGCAGAGGTACAGAAGTAATTCCACCAGCAGTAGCTTCAATACACAAGGATGCAGTTCAGATTGAGAAGTGACTGTCCCCTTGTGAAGGTTCTCAATTTGCTGTCATCACGACAATCACTCATTGTTTTCTTTTAATTTATACATAATATAAAGATGAATATCACATTTAAAGGCATACTTTGACATTTTGGAAAATAGGCTTTTTTTGGACAAGCGTTGGAAGAGAAGATTGATATCACTGTTATATTTTGCAGCCAAGTATGAAGCTACAGCTAGGAGATGGTTAGCTTAGCTTATCTTAGCATAAAGACTGAAAACAACTTGCTTGGCTCTGTCCAAAGGCAGAAAAATACGCTAATGAACACGTTATATGTCATTTATTTAATCTGTATAAAAACTGCGGTTTAAATTTTGACAGTTTTACTCTATGTGTTTCAGACAGAACGGAGCTGTTTGAAGCTTTTGTGCTAAACTAAGCTAACCGGCTGCTGGCGTAGCTTCATATTTAGGATACAGATAAAAGAGTGGTATCAATCTTTGTATATAACTCTCTTCCAGACAGTGAATAAGTACTTTTAAAAAAGAGAGGAAATCACTAGTTAAGTAGCCGAGACAAAATACCTCCTGAAGATTAACTGAGGGTTGATTTTTCCTTTTAAATTCAGTCAGGTATAACCCATCATGTCATTCTCTAAACCAGTGTAATCTCTTCATTTTATAAGAAGCAACTGAAGAAATGAGAAGCAGAAAAATGTGTTGAAATTCTCAACAACCTCTCTAATGGTGATGAACTTACATCATACCTCTAATGAAACCATCTCTCTCGCTCTCTGTTAGAAAATTCATACATTGAAAAACTCCATATTTCCTAGTTTTTATTTAAATACTCAACACATAACACCAGACATCTGGCAGCTGTAGTACTGAACATCCTGTTTGAATGGAAACCTGTGAATCTAAATAGACACTGCTACTCTGGATATATCCATAAATACACTGCTTGAGTTGTCATCTGCCTCTAAAAGTAGTGCATCAAGAGCTCAGGTGGATCTTAGAAGGTTATATTTGTCTTTGATTATAGTGTTATAGATTTTGGTTGGACTAAATGTGCAGGATGCCCTAGGTTTCACCCCTGCTCAGACTTATTCACCAGTATTTAAGCTAATCGGTTCACTCAACTATATGTAACATTGGACTGTTCATAATCTGTGGCATTTAAGGCATAATCTTTTTTTGTAGTAACCTATATGAAGTATCAAAATGGAACAGAATGAGTCATCTTTCTTTTGTTAATATATATAGAGAAAGATGCATCACTGAATGGTAATAAATGGCAGTCTCCCTCCTCAGTGTGTGACGGTTTGTTTCATTCACAGCAGCAGCTTTGGATCAGGTGTCTGGATGTCGTTCATGGTGGAGACGGTTCATACTGCAGTATGATTTTATGACTCATTCACTTTGATGCAGTTGCTCACACACTCCAGCATGAATGACAACTTGAGTGCTGGAACTTGGAACATGTAAAAAGTCTTAGACATTTTAATTATTAAACGATCTCTTTCAATATTTGATCCAACCAACCATTATTACAGCAAAATATGTTCTTATAATGACCTGGAGTATTGTAGGAGAGGTAAAAATCATCTTGATATGTCATAAACATATCAAATAGAGTAAAATAGGGTAATTCTCATTATTTCTTTAACTGCATTTTTAAAGGGCCACATTCCTCTCTAGTAACCATTGTTCTTTTTCACAATTGTAGCAACAATATTAGCAAAACTAATCTAATTTCACAAATACATAATAAACTTATGTCATCTTTATGCTTGGGGGTATTTATTCCTTATTAACTTTTTTATAAACTGTCTAAGTATTTACTGGTAACTTAAATCCATTATTATAATTTTTGTTATCACTACTATGAAAAATCTATTATGTAATATATAATAATTATACATGTGCCACGAGCCACCAAAAATGAATAAATGAATAAATTACAATACCATCTGTATTTTTACACATCAAAACCACAAAGCCCACAACCACAAAGCTGGGGTGAAAAACAGGTTTCCCTCTTTCCCACGGGCCTGAACGTGGCATTTTTTCAATGAAAGACATCTCTGATGTTTACGTTCATTGCCATGACAACGGTGTAGGAGGCGTTTCCTCTGCGCTAGCTAGTGACGCTCAACAGAGAGGTATGAACCAATCAGAAATTAGCTCTGTTACCGAACTGACGTCAGCGTTAAAGAGAGAAGAACCGTTACTTGGTTGCTGAAACTCTACAACTGCAAGGGGATAGAAAATATGGCTGAATACCAGCGTAGTCTTGTTTAAAGCCCATGGCGGTGTAGTCTCTGATTCAAGATCATCGGTAACCTATCGCAGCAACTTCAGTTAATGGTTTAAAAAGCAGCGAAAACCAGCTGGAAAGACACTATTTGGGGGCGTTTCTCCGTCCGTTTGGATCGGGGTGATCTCCAACTGCGGGGTGAGTGGATGCAGTTACCGTACACCAGCATAACAGTGATATGTGCTGTTCTCTCCTATGGATACAAGCCCAAGCCAAACTCCTGCCAAGCTCTGACAATATTACGTTTCCTTGTTGCCGGGAACAAATATATACCTCACTGAACTCAATTTAACACATTTTAGAAGTCATAACGAGCCACCGAAATATTCGGCAACAATATGACAGTGAAGCAGCTCATTATTTCAATATAATTTCACATTTCAACAGTTAAGATACATTAACTGCCCTGCGTGTGTTCTGGGGGAAGAATAACGGCTAAACCAACCCTAAAAGTTCATTTTTGTCGAATAAAGTCTTGCTTATTCTATCGGCTATAGCTATGTCTGAGAGAGGAATGGTGTCCTAGCAAGGATGAAGGTCCTGGCGATGCTATTTCCCGTGAAATGTGTGTTGTATGCCAGCAAGCAGTGCCACAATTTGCTTACACTACAGTTTGGCGGGGCGGTCTGTGAACGCACTGCTGCTGCTGCCGCTGCTGCTGTCTTGGCTACCCAGATACATTTGAATTAGCTAGCTAGATAGCAAGTTAACTAGTAATCGATGCGGGACATTCGCCGAGGTTACACGGACTAAACAACCGTGTGGGCGTGTTAATAAACGATGCATTATTAACTTTGCAATTCGCTACCTGCCAGTTCAAGGGGCTTGAGGGACGGTAAGTTTTCGCTGCTTCAATCCCTTCTCCGCCCCCTTCATGGACAGTACACTGTCAAACCTGCCCCTCTTCCATTACACTCCGGGGGTCTGAGTGGTTATCTAATCACGTGTGGTTTAACGTGTTATGAAAATACAAACGCACTGATATTTGACTGAAATCAGGCTGTTCGGGATTGTATAGAAACGGCCCACTGCAGTGCATCAACTATGGCTTCTGTGCTAGTGTCGTCCCATCTCCTCTCAGTGTCATGTAACGCTATACCCCTCACAGAGACCGTCCACAGCACTACGTCTGTCTTTTTCCATTGTTTTGCACACATACCTCAACCGTTTGCTGTGCTAGAAATCACTCGATTCAATTTGACAATTTACTGTTAATTTATGCATCAGTATTGCAACTATATGATATACATGTGTATAAAACACAGTGAGGATTACTGTATAAAATTTATTCAGAATAAGGGGTAGAATAAGACTGATGTATGTAGAAGCTGAAATGCATTTAGTACAGTCAGTGTTAAAAGTGATGGCAAAGTTCACTTTGATATGTGAAATTTCAGAGCAACTGAAGCCAACAAATTACTGACTACAAAAGCGCATACAGTATTGCCATTATACAGTGGCACACAGAGGTGCCTGCTGATGAATCGTGATTTCAGACTTTAATTTCTGTGAAATCAGCCAATCTGCTTTCTACAGCAGTGTGCTGGACTTGATGCTTACCCAGCTTGGCTTACAAAAAGCCTTAATGCTAGTCCTTTAAGAGCACATTGGAACGCCACTGAGTGTTGAGTGACCTGTAGAGGTCATAGGCATCTGCTATATTTACCGGCTCTGTAACTTGATCTGTGGCATTCTGGTTCGCTGTGCTCATACTATCCTCTCCCACTCTGGGGCCACAGCCTCCCAAGAAGCACCCCATTGCTTTCTGTCTATTGGCCTGGTCGCTCAGAACAACAAGGGTGAGCCTCTTACAAACCAACTTAACCGCCACTCTTCCTCCCTTTTCTTGTTTTAGGTACCTGCTTGTCAGATGAATGTGTACAGTGTGGGCTGTTTCCTCAGCCGTAGGATACGTCTTCTCAAGGAGACGATGATAGAGGATAGGGGATAATGTTTGAGAAAGCTCTGGATTTTTGTAGCATGAGTAGAAGGACTGAGAACAGCCTTCCAGCAGGGTAGGGCATAACACCAGTTGAAATGCATGAATTTTGTATTTGTAGTGAAAATATATACAGAGTAGCAGCAGGTTGTGATTGCAAAATGTGAGTTGTGAAACAAGTTCTGGAAGAGACACTCTTTACCTGAACTTTATAACTGAGCAACTTTTCCAGATTTGATCATTCAAGCAAAATGATGCATCATCAATCTTTAATGTTGGGACATGCAGTCCAAAGAATGTGTGTACAGGTGGCCTGTGCGTTCACTTCATGCTAAACATGTCTGCTGTAAAGTGTCACAAAACAAATCAAAGAGACATTGACTTCTGCTATTTTTGTGAATGTGTACATCTTTAGGAAACAAGATATTTCTCTTGTGCTGTGTTTGCTGTCCTCAGGCAAGGATTTCCTCGACCAATTAGATTGTTGACATGTAACTTGTCTGTGTGTTTTCCTGCAGGAGTATTCAGTGCCACAAAGCCTGTATGTGTGTGTGCACTGTGGGGTAGCAACAGTAGGATGAGCTGCCCCAGACTTATCACAGTCTGCAGGGACTGACGCACAGAGCTACAACTACAGCAGGTAACTACACACACACACACACACACACACACACACACACACAGAGTACATGTAGTTTATTTTGCATTCCTGTTGAGTTTGACATCACTGTGCATGGTTCATATGTATCAAAGCAGAATTTCTTTTTCACTCTTTTTCCCTTTATGAAAGAGAGTCAGAAAAGGTTAGAAAAATAAGTTATGCATCAGCTTACCAATGACTCACAGAGTTAGAAAGGTGACGCTGAGAGCAGGACCAAGCAGATGATTTCACATGGACCTCAAAATTTTGTTTGGTATATAATCACAGGATGTTTTTACACTGGGTTTAATATTTTGGGCAATGAAGTCTGAGTCACTGTGTGTGACTATACAATTTAAAGTAATTGTTGCTATTGCTTTGAATTTAATCTACTTTATAGAGTTATTGCTATAAAAGAGAGACAGCGGTAACATTGAGTTATCAACGTGACTCATTTTGTGGCCAAAGGAGAGAATGTACACAGAGAAAGAGAAACATGATTATTTGTGGAGACAGAAAACATTTGGTGGGACAGCACCTGAAACAAGCAATATTAGCTCAGGTCTCCTTAAAAGCCCATTTTCTTCTGATTGGCCAAACATCTGTAAACCTGCCACACCTGTGTGGAGGTTCTGAAGGCAAACCATAAAACTGAGTAACATGATTGATTGGAAATGATAATTTCTCAAATCCATTCGTAAGTGTTCAAGCCCTATCCGGTTTAGAATATGACAGTGGACGGCATGAAGATCCACAGCAACAAAGATTACAGCAGGAGGTCTCTGTTCTGTAAATATTATGCCCATTACCTGCTCATTATGTGACATAACAGTGGATTTTGTCTTTCAGTCACAATCTGTGTATAAAAATATTTTGTATATGCCCCTGTTAATAGTTATACGTATGGAAAATGCACTAAAATTCGAACTAAGTGAAAAACGTCTGCTGACAGAAAATATGAAAGCTAACGTTGCTAATAAAAAGTTACTCTGCTGTCGCCAAACAACTGTTCAGTAAAGCTGAACCATATTACAGTTATTATATATATTATATATATAGTTATTTGTATGCTTTACCTTTACATACATTTACCTCTTAATTTGAAACTTTGGCCACGTTTAACATGGACATTGTAACACTGACAGAAAATAAAGAAAAGCATAATCGGTGCCCTTTAAAATCAAAAATGAGTGACATCATGAGTGAAGCTATAGCCCTGGTGCTGATTGACTTTGTGAATGGATAAACATACAGTGTGTGCTGAAAAGTGCAACTATTCCACAGGTGTAAAGTACTGCTCTACAGCATCTCCCAGCATCACTCAGTGGACCGGCAGAGATTGATAGGTGTTTCAAATGATAATGTGTCTAATTGACCAAATGATTACCTCAATGAATAAAGAATTACACCGCCCAGCTGCAGAGACTGGAGCATCAATCACTGTGGCCCTCAGATTCATTCCTCTCTGAGGTTACTGCTACCATTATGGCCTCTCATGTGAGTCACCAACAGATGGTGGTAATAATAAATGCTAATTGGTTGCTCCTCGCCAGGTTTTCACATTATAGAAACTTCGGTTTTTGTAGTGAAGGATTGTAATGGGGATAAGTTGCTGGAGGGAGTTTACTCGTAGCAGAAAATGCATTTGAGTATGAAATATGAAAAATAATAAATCTTCTCAGTTGCTACCTTTGAATGCAGCATTTGGGGATGTGACCTATTTCTGAGAGTTTAATAAAGTATGTTCAAGGATGGAAAATGAAAGGTGACTGAGCTGTTTCTGTCAGAGCCCTAGAGATTTGGGAGGCACTGCTAGAGGCACTAGGACAAGCAAAAACATTGATATTAAATCTCATCTTTCATAGTATCTTTATGAACCAGATGTTTTTAGTTGCCACTTTAATTTTGTGGTTTTACTTTGCACTCTGGGTATTCTTGTGCCAGCACTTTGCATTCCTCAACTTCAGTCCCTTCCTTTCTTTTACCTATCTGTAACTATACACAGTATTGTGCTGTAACACTTGGCTGAGGGGAAAACACAAGTGTTGAATGGAGTTTACCCAGGTAGCTTTGGGAGGCTGGGGTAGGTCCAACTATGGCTTGTCAGAGTAAAGAAGTAGTCCAGCCTAATTTTAATATGCTTGGCAACAGGCAGAGAGGCAGGGGGCAGGGGCGTCAGTGTGGCCCTCACGGACATCGGCCGTCTCTTATCTGCTCACATTTCAGGGTATATATAGCCACCTGTAAGGCCAAGCCAAACCCAGCAAAGCCCGGAGACCTCCTAGAAGCCCCCATGTTAATTTCTTATATTATTCCCCACGAGAGGAACACTGTGTCTGCATTATGGTATTTTCCTGGTGTAAGTGTTCATTTATGCTGCTGCAGTTGTTTTGGTTTAGATTGAGGTAACTTTTTCGGTGGCATAGAGAAGCGAAAAAAAAAAGCCCACCAATCAAAGTGAGTTCACATAATTACAATTACTACTGTCCTGCATCGCTTTATAAATGTACCAACACTGGTTTTTATAGTCTGGCAAAAGTCTGACTGGCATTTCCAAACCCTAGACCTTTCCTAATGCTAATAAAAGTCTTTCATTAATAGTATAACTTAAAGCTGCACTAATCAATATTCCTATATTAATGAATCAAATAAATATGTGTAATGTGGAAGGGGTTGCTTGTAGTGATGAACCCCCAGAGAATTATCACCCAACTCAGCAGTTTCCTGTCTGTTCTAAGTACTTGTTTTTTACCTTTTAGCCAATTGTTTCGGTTTTACAGCTCTCAACATTACTGTTTTGGTTCAGTGGTTCTACACTTACTGCCCAGCACCAAACAACAGCCAGGAACAGTTGACGGCTAGCTGGTGAACATAGCGGAGCATTTAGTTGCAAAAGAACCAGATATTTCCCAGATGTGATGAAATTCCCTCCAGGCGTTCCTGATATATTGTGAGGTCACATTGACCTTGATCTTCGACCTTTGACTGCCAAAATATACTCAGTTCATCCATTTGTTGGCTTCATTCTCCATGGCTACAAAAATGGCTGATAGATGCTTCTCTGTGGTCTAAAAAATAACGTTTGTGGGCCAGATATATGAGGTCAGGGCAAAACAAACCTGCTCCTCTCCCAGGTACAAATGATCAGGTCACATGTACAGGACGTCGGGCTGAATGAATGTAGTGAAATGAAATGGAAGCTCAGTGTGAATTTCAGGCTTCATGTTTGTCAATGTTTTTGAATGGCTTGAAGTTAAATGTGCTATAATGCAGTTTGGTTGCTAATAGAAGTTTGTCCACTGTCAGCAAAGTAATCAGTTAAATATTAGTGATCAACAATCCTCTCTGACTCACCGCAGATTTACTGTATTATGGTCAAATTGAGTTATAGGGTGAAATATGAAGCCACTTGTTGCACATTGATGTCTCTGTCTTCATGGTAACAGCTGTATCTGAACTTGACTTTTACATAGATTCACAGCACTCGCTTCAAAACTGCACTGACTCAGCTGAGACTGAGCTAACCATTTACTATAGCACAGCACACCCACCCACACACTCACACACACACACACACACACACATACTCTCACTCCAAACTACAAGAAAGCATCCATCCTGATGTCACAGTAATGCAATGTCACCCCGGAGTACGGCGGCCGTGGCATCCTGCGTCATCACACATACTCTCTGAACGCACTTTAGATCCGCTCTGCTCTCTAATAGGCCATAGGAGACCTGGGAGGACAATATGTACTGTAAGAGATCTGACTCACTGCCTGATTAGAATAACGGATTATCAACAGAGGCACATTTCAGTGAGATAATAGACCCAATCAAAATCAAACAAACTTCTGAGAAATCCACATTTATATTTAAAAATACATACATTTTTATAGATTTTATAGACGTCTTAGAAATATTTTTCTCCATATTAGCAAGGCTTATTTTTTTCATAGTATTTATCTGTAGTTTCAGATCCTTCAAATAAAAGATAATTTGTCTTTCACATTTTTTACATTACACATAGTCATTTATTCCATTCATGAAATAAAAAATGTTTTTGCAGCTTTGCAGCTTTAAAATAAAAATTAAGTACGTCGTTAGTGACACTCAGGTGAGCTTTGGTACTGCTGGTGTTGACACTTTGTGAATGGACAGAAAACTTGTGTATTGTAAAGTTATACCAGTGTGAATTGTTATTTTAACCACTAGTTGCTAGTGTTTTCTCAGTATTCTTGTTTTATTTCCATTTTTGTCTCTAAGTTGTTCTTGAATCCAGTTAGTGAAAGGTAGTGAAAGTGAGGCTCCCAATAGGTTTTTAGCTTGGTTTTCTGAAACCTGCCCAGTAAGTGAAACCTCATCTCTCCAGCTCTTTGCCAAGAATTGCCAGCAGTCAGCTGCTAGAATCTTCTCATCCCTGCGCTCATGCCGTCACTTCTGCCACTGTGTTGACAGCTTTCTTAATACAGATTTAGTAGAAGTTAGAAGAACAAACCAGCTCATTCATAACAGTGGAACGTTGTATTTTCACTCTGACATATTTCCACCTCCTGTTTTTCTCTGACTTTTCAGATTTGATTTTATCTAATCCTGTTCTATCAATTTTCCAGCAGCACAGAGGCTTGTTAGGCAGTTTTTTTTCATTTCCTTGGTGGTTCTCTAAAGGGGCGAGGGGAATACAAAGCATTACACAGCCGCTAGGCTGAAGCTCTGATAGTAAGTGTAAATTGGCTGTGGAATATGTCCTGGTGCTACTTTTAAGCTCTTAATGCGTTGGTAGGAAGCAAACAAATGCAGCTTGTTGCCACGGTAGCCATGGTAACTACTGGTTAGCACAACCTCAGGGGAGGCTGAAAATGCAGAATAGCCAGAGTGCATGTGTGTGTGTATTTGTGTGAGTGGCACATTTTTGTGCGAGTGCGCTTGTTGTTTCCGTGGAGACATCGCCTCTCAGAAGTGAAATCCATAGTTTGCTATCACCTTATCAATCCTGTGTGTCCGTGTTGTGTGGTGTTACTCCCACGGGTGTGACTCGCTGTTTGCACTTCACTCTCAGCAGCTCGCCCACCAGGCCGGCCTGAGCTTGTTTCACTCAGCCGCCCTGGGTCTCTGGCTGTGAAACAGCTGTGAGATTTCAGAGAGGTGCATAGATGAGGCAGGGTTTGGTTCAACCAAGGCTGAGGTGGTGCAGGCAACGGTTCAAAACACACATAGACTGCCCTTATTTGAGAATTATAGCATTCCAAGATGTTTCTGAACCCAAAATAAACTAATGATAAATAATAAACGAAGGAAACCACAGACCTCATTTGATAAGAATTTGTCTTTGGATATTACAGCGCTTTCATTTGAGAGTTATTGCTTTAGTGAGGAGCCATGTTTATACAGCGGGTCTTACTCATTGTGTTGTTAGAGAAAACACTCCTCATGGTAACGCAGATCACCCAGGATTCTTACTGTAGTTTTATCTTTGATTACACAGTGTGGGGAGTCACAAAATGTAGGTTTGAGCAAGTGTGATGATAAGGATATGGTGGGCTTAACAGCTGCAGCATCGTAAATTTGTGGAATTTGCAATGATGAATAAGTTTTGCCTCAATCAAAGTCAGAGATACAAGCTTTGAAAATGGTGTTTGGTGCGTTCGTTCTGCATTCAGGCAGCAAATGACCAGCTCAAATTCATAGGACATGTGCTCTCAGTCTGGATATCTGCATGGAAATATAGAGTTGGGTTAGAACAGTATTTACCTGTTCACACTTTTGTCTAATACATAAAACATAACCAAATCACATTTAATATGAATGTAATGGATCATTGAAATCTGAATGTTGAAGGCAATGTGAAAGCATGTAAGAAAACACCAGAGACTGACTGTTGTGGTCACTGCTGATGTTGATATTTAAAAACAAAATGGATAATGATATATCAGCAAACACATAAAACATTTTTGATAAGAATACTGGAACTTAATTAGTTTTTTTTCAGCTATTATTACTAACAGAAAACACTAAGGCAGTAACTAACAATTATTTTCATTATCGATTCATCTGTCGATCTTTTTCTAAATTCATTGATTAATTATTTTATGTATAAAATGTCAGAAAACAGTGAAAAATGTCCATCCCAGTTTCCCAGTCTCTTAAGATGATATATTCAAATGTTTTTTTGATTTCTGTTCAGTTTACACTGATTTGAAACAAAAAGAAAAGTGATTCGTTCTCAAATCTAAAAGTATTTAAAGCAAATATTTTGAATTTTTCTTTGATAAATTACTTAAATTATTCTTCAGACAAATGATAAAAGCACTGACAAAAAAAATGTTGTAACGTTGGCAGGAAATGACGTGCTTGTCCAGGGCCACATCAGTCATAGAAAGTAGCTGATTGAGAAAACAGGTTCTCGGAGCTTTTAATCTAAACAGTCACATCACTGCACATTGTGATGTTATTTTGCATTCAGTTCAGCTTTGCATTTTTAAGTGAGTTTAGTCTGATGTTGGATCAAACCGTTTCTTTTCAGTACAGAACGAGGCCTATATGAGCACTGGGAATAAAGTTAATAGCTTAACAACCAATATCAGTTATTAGAGTCATTACATCAGATTTTCAAGTTTGTAGCTGTAAGTGAAATACTGTGTATCAAAGCTCACAGCTGATTGTCGGCGCTTCTTCCAGCAGTGCAGAAAGCTACTGATTCAGGCCTCAAGATTGAGTGTTAAAGATTTGGTCATTTGTGTATTGATCACCTTTAGTCTTAAAGATGAGGATGTTTGGGGGCTAATTGTCTTGTTTTATAATTGACTCAAATTATGACACTAGTCGTGGTGGTTGATGCTTATTCATTCCATCTCAGCCCGTTGCCGAGCTTCCTGCCACATTGGCCTAACTTGGTAATTCTCTGGTCTCAGTCTGGTAACTGACAAAGGTGGTGGTGGAGAATAAATCCAGACCCAGGATTCATCCCATCAGAAAACTATTAGTGATGTCAGAGACACATTGTCCAGTTTTTACTGTTGCCATGTAAACTACAGCGCCAAAACTAAAATAATCCTCCAAATGCCGCTGCTGCCAAATGATAGAAACAAACCTCGAACATGTACCGAGTCTGGCTTCAGCTGGCTGACTCAGAGCAAGGCCAGGTTGTTGGTGCTATTAGCTTGGCTGGCTTAGCAGTACTCAACTGAACGGCTACAGCTGCCTGGCCTGCGTCTGTGTATTTTGGCCAGCAGTGAGTATTTGCCTGTCTTCAGCATGCTGCCTGTCTGCCTACTCCAGATCCATATGCTGAATTATTGATAAACCTGTGGTCACAGAGAGAGAAGGAGGCAGAGGGAGAAAGCGATAGAGACCCAGAAGGAGGAGGAGAAGTAGGTGCACTCGGAGAGAAGGCCGGGTGCCGAGGAGGAGGAGAGAGAGCAAGAGAGTACAGGGAGCAGTGAGAGAGAGAGAGAGAAGAGACAGATTAAAGAAACTGGAGCCTCTCCTACTAAACTCAACACGGATCAACAACACCAGATACTTTTATTTATTCAAACGTTGCTGTGTAAGTGAACAAGAGCCTCTCTCTGCCACAGGAACACACTGTGCTGACTGCCTGTCTTTACCTCAAACACCCAGCTGGACTCTCCCATTATAGCGGTGGGAGATGCACAGTATACCGAGAGACGGAGGAAGGGTGGTGCAGGTGTCCTGCAAGAGAGGGGCTTTGCAATTTGAGATGATAAAATAACATGGAGAGACTATTTATTTACCTCCTTGATTTTAGGACAGGATTCAAGTTGGTAGGAGAAGAGAGTTCCAGTGTGTTTTCCACGTGAGTGGGATTTAAAGCCCAGAAGAAGATGCTGTGCCTTCCTTCAGCATTACATAGCACTTAAATAGTGCACCAGCAAGCATGCAAGCTACTGCTAATTGTGTCACTACAGATCTGTCTCCCCAGCAAAGTGTATCATGCTCCTCATAGTTATGTGATGTAGGCTTATGGTATAATATCCATGTCTGCTACACTTGTTAAATCTCAGGCCTGGGTAACCAGCCGTGCACTGTAAAAGCCTATAGATAGATGGGATGGACTCTAATGCAGAGGTTTTATGTCAGTGGCCATAGATAGATTTAATGTTCTTTTTAAAGGGCCACTCCACCAATTAATTTAATTTAATAGTCACAGTCTTTTTTTTTTAGCAAAACTTTACAAAATACCGCACACCACCAATTTATTATATAAACTGTCAGTAACATAATGTTTTGTTAGAGTATAAGACATGCCAGATACATGCAGTATATGCTCAATTTTCTATTACATTCAGTGTTTCTATTATTTTGTCCACCCCATTTACATCAGTGAGGCTAGGCTAGAAACTACATCCTCCAAACTGATCATACACTTGAATCAACAACTCACTAAAACTCACCAGCTTTACTGGTGTCCCTCAGTTGTAAGTTAAATCGTTTTGTGTCTTAAAAACTAAATGAATGCTCAGTGAAGCAAGAATAAATGATGTCCTGATGCTGCTTACATTGTTGCTGTAATGTAAGTGTGGATGTGATTGTTGCTGATGAATAACACTCGTGTCTCTTTGTTGTTGCTGCAGTCGATGCAGTCTTCCAGAGGCTCTGCCTCCCCGTGGCTGAGAAACCAGCAGCAGCAGCAGCATGTCCCGCGTCTCCTCCACCGCCAAGCGCTACGCTGGCCCCTCCTACACCAGCCACTACAGCTCCTATGGCTCTTCCCTGACACCCGGCCTTAGCTCATACAGCGAGCGGGACAGGCTGTCCTCCTACAAGTCCCCCACCTCTTCCTCAGGTTACTCCTCGTCCAGCTATCTGAGCAGCTCTACCGCCCGCAGCCGCAACTACAGCACCTCCTCAGACCCTGATCGCGACCGGGGTCGAACCATCCCGCGCAGCGACATTCTCGGAAGCAGCAGCAGCAGCCGCCGGAGTGAGAGCCTCAGCAGAACCCCCATCAAGAGCTATGGAGGGTCAGGGCTGAGTGGTGGGTCGGCCTACACCGGCTACAGTTCCTACTCTTCGTCTTCGGCCCAGTCCAGCTACCTCTCCTCTTCACCGGTGGCCTCCAGCATCTCGCTCAACCGACGGAAATCTGTATCTCAGAGTGACTTGAGCAGGGATCTGGCCTCTCTGGGCTTCAACGACACCTCCTCTTCCTCCACCCCGTCCTCTTCCACCAGTGCCCTGCGGAGCTACCGCAGTCGGACCAGCGATGTGTCCGACTCGTATGGCACTAGCTCACGCACAGGCTACTCAGGCCTGTCGCGGAGTTCTACTCAGGAGGCCCTCTCGCGGAGCTCCACCCAGGAGGCCTTCAGCAGCAGCAGCAGCAGCAGAGTATTCAGCTCTTCGACATGGGAGCCGAGAAGTAGCAGGCTGTCCAACTCCCCCACCAGGGACTCCACGGTAAGAGAATCTCCTCATGCTGGCTTAAAGGTTGCTGCTTTTATTGAGGATGTACTGCTCCAGAGGGGATCAGTGCCCAGAGGCAGAGCGAGGCTGAATGGAATCAAAGCTGCAGTCGTCACTAAAGAGGCACACTAGTCTCATTTTTCTAGTTTCTCACACGATAAAGCCTCACAATTCTTTGTTGCTTCTGAGAGTACTGTTTTCTACCATATGGGGGCACTATTGCTCAAATTAATTTCTGTGCACTTGGAGTCCTGTTGTACAATAATACACCAGGTGTGTCACACTCTTTCACATGCCTTTCACATGTTCTTTAGTAGACTGAGCGCTTCAGTAAAACAGTAACAGTATTGTCTCCTAACATAATAAGAAACAGTCCTATCATATACAAACTGGAGGTCGTTATTTCTGTGTATGTAAGTAGTTCCATGCTTTTGCGTCAAATGAGCTCTTAGCATGGACACCTGACCCCATCCAACCCACCAATTAGTTAGCCTACACCTCTCTGAAGGAGCCACAGGGCTATGATGAGCTGGGTCTGCAGGCCACTAGCCTCCTCTCTCAGTTCAGTATTAATGAACCGAGTCTTGTCTATGCAGGTCAGAAAACACAACTGACCCACTTCCCCTCTGGATTAGTCCTCATAACCTGTTACCATGAATGGAGGAGGGTGGAGGAGAGAGTTAGGGAGAATTTGTGGTTAATCTTTGCTTGAAAGTGCTTTTCTGCACATTTCAGGTAGTTATCAGCCTGTTATATCTCAAAATATAATTTTAAAACATGGGATCAAACACATATTCATTATAATATGTATTAATTTTCCTGATTGCTCACCACATTAAAAGGAAGACTCATTCTGTATGTATTTATAGATAATCTTGTGATGGAACCCCATAAAACAGCAATATAGCTAAAGAATGTGCATGTATAATAATGTGTAACAGCATTACTTATTATCCAACAATAGAACTGAAACAATTAGTTGATTAACAGGAAATTCATCAGCAATATTTTTCAAATGAAGTCATTGTTTGGGTAACTTTTTTTTTGCTTTGCTGACTCTGTCTTATGTCACAGTAAATTGAATATTTTTGGTTTTTAGTCTGTTGGTCAGACGGATGTCATCTTAGGCTTTGGAGAGACGTAATGGCAACTTTTCATTATTCCCTGACATTTGATAGACAACACAATTAACCAGGCATACAAGAAAATGATAATGGAGTTATAATTCATTGATAACAAAAAATAATTGTTAATTAAAACTCTACACAACAGCACCAAACCATATACTGAGAGTTATGTGAGGTCATCACACACTGTACTAATCAGTGTCTGTACACACACACAAACACACATGGTCCTGAGATGAGGTCTAATCAGCCAAATTAATTCAAATCAGCTGTGTGAGTTCACCAAGGGTGTGCAGGGCCTTTAAAACAAACAGCCATCTGAGGAAAATCACATTGAACAATTTGTATATATTTAGTATTTGACAGCGTGCTATGACAGGTTAGTACCAAAAAATATTTATGTTCGATGATGTTGGCTTTGTACAGTGTGTTGTCACTCTCATGACACGTACTTGCTGTATGCACTTGAATGACTCTAGCATATGGAGTACGGGAGGTTTAACACACTCAGCCGTACGTTTTCTAATTAGTCAGGTGCTTCTGTTTAGCTCGTACAAGTCGCCCTTCAGAAACAGATAAATGTGACCTAACACGAGCCTCACATTACAAAATCTTTGGCTCTCCTGAGACAAAGATGAAGATCTAGTCATCACCATGAGACTACTGAATGACCGATTGAATAACAAAGAGATGTTGTACTAAAACTGAAAATTAAGCTCTGGATAAAAAGATTTTTTTATTTTGCTAGAAACATTCATTTGAAAGTATACAGTATATATGTGACACAGAAGGAGGCTGATTTTATTCCACGTAATCATGGACCCTGCGTCAATAACAGTTTTGGTCACTGACTCATACGACCTCACGTCAAAACATCTTGGTCACAAAAAAAAATAAAAAAATCATTGTTTAGTCGGGACAGAGACAGTAAAATACATCTGACTTCCACTGCGGTGGAACAGGCAAGTTTCAACTTATCAAGTAATCAACACTTATCCATCATGCTCGGACAGAGGAGTTCATGGCTGGATGTCACCAGCTGGCCTGTTTGTACTGTTAATTAACACCAGGCCTCTGTTAGTCCAGGCACATTTAATCACCCGCTCCCCTCAGGACTGGGCGTCTGCACTGATAAGGCCCAAAACACTGAGGTTGCAATGAACCTCAGTGAAGGTCTGGAGTTTAATATTGTGTTATGTTTCCGCAATATTAATGTGTAGAGCTGAAATAGTTGAAGAAAGACTGTGTAACTTTTTATATGTAATGTAAATTTCATATACTGTAGCACAGGAGGAGAATAAGAAGTATTCAAGTCAGTCAAATGACTCAGTGATGTCCTGTCCACAGGAACATCATTCAAAGGTTTGCTGACATTTGAAAGCATTAGCCACCATAAACTACTGCTCATACCAGATCATGTCAGGCTTGTAGCAGCAAAACCTGTCAGTGTGTTGAACTGAGAAAATGCATTTTGTTGCTATGAATTTGCCTTCTCATTTGTCAGAGGAGGAATATGTTATATCTTCTTAAAAAATTCCATAGTCTCACTTGAATGGATAAGTTGACTGACATGAAATGTCTTGTCATTTTGCTAATCGAGCAATCATCACCATTTTAGGGTGGCTTATATGGCAGACGGACTATTTCTAGACGGGGAGCAGTTGCCAGGCAGACAGTGGAGACCTCAGCCAGGCGAGCTGCCCAGTCTTTATGCTAAGCTGGCTCCAGCTACACATTTAATGTACACACATTACTCTGTTGAACTTTTCTTTTAAGTAAAAATAACTAAACTTTATTGGACATGTGTCATTATTGGAGACATTTCTTAGACTAAACAATTAATACATTAATCAGAACAGCAATCAATTTGGGAAACAATCATTAGCTACATATGATTGTATGGTTATACTGTCTGATGGTCTGCTGATAAAGCTCAGTCGAAGATGTGCGTATGTGCTGGCCTGCATATGTGCATGTAAGTTGTGTCACCCATTAGAAATCCTTGCAATATGACAGTCATGTAGAGTGGGTGTGTGCTGTGGGGTGTGCCTGATGTCTGACACATTTTAGGGGGAAAAATTATGAATGATCTTATCTGATGAGCGTCACAGTGACAGCCCCTGTGACCACTTAGTGAACTCTCCTCGTGTCAAGTTAGCTCAGCCATCGTCAGGCAACTCTGTGGAGTGCTGCTTTGTTTTTTTTTTTGTTACAAAGGAGGGAATCTTTGCTTTGTTTTGTCCATCATAAGAATCCACCTTCACCTAGCAGTAAACACCAAACAATTTTAGCATAAACTCAGATGCTTATTATCAGGGGTTTTCATTATTGATTAATGTACAGATTATTTCCTTGATTAACCATTTGATCTACACATGGCCAGAAAATAGCAAAGAAAAGCCCATCATAAGTTCCCGATGACATTTTAAAGTATAATGTTTTGTCTAATCTACAGTGCAAAACCCAAAGATATTTACTTTACTAACAAGATGAATAATAATTCACAAGTGACAAAATGGAACAAGAGATTTTAAATTTTTTGCTTTAAAAAAAATGACTACAATTAATTGATTGTCAAAATAGTAGCCAGTTATTTTCTGTCATTCTTATAATTTTCATCAGTTTTTAGCAAAAATATATTTAGGAATTTTTTACTTTGATTTACAGTTTTTCCAGATGTATTGAAGACATTCTGCCACTACAGATCAAATAGTCTTTTGGTTTAGAGATATACAGTAATTGATATCAGCAACTAAACAGTTTTCTAATATTATGAAATGATCAGTTTTGGATATTAGCCGCAATAATCAAGTGAATTCTCAATGCCCAGTTCAATAAGTTAACTTTATTATACTGTGCATTTTAAGCTGTGCTGCATCACGTCCTAATTCAGTGGTATGAGCAACTTGGAGGAACCAGGAATTGTGAAACAGAGTGAGCAATATTCGAAAATTTCAGTATTACATTAAAGCTTTTTTCCTTTGTGCCTTCCTGCTGTGTTTCAACATAGCATAGATCCAAAACATTTACAGCTAGAATAATATGATCTACACACTTAAATTGCTCTGTGTGCATTGAAATCCCATAAGCAGTGCCTTGTTACAGACAGTTTTATTGCTCAACCCAAACTCCAGCTGTCTGGTCACTGGTCATGTTTAGTGTACAAACAACTACATATCCCTCTACCCCAGATTGATTGCTCCCTGTTTTCCTGTGAAGATAACCACCTCTTTATTCTGCTTCCAAAGTTTTATTGAACGCAGTGCAGCAGATATACAGCAGGTATACAGCTTCAGCTATAAGTACCCTCCCACATATTCTTCCCACTTTATCCTTTGTCTCAATAACTAGAATGTAATGTGTGGGTTTTTTTACCAGTCTCTGAGTGTCCAGTGAATTTGAAGATACCAGTCTAACAGAATGAGAGAAAACATAAATTAATACTCACTCTCCTCTTGTTTTAATACGAATGTTTAAACTCACTTATGCCAGTGTAGAAATGTGTCCTGAAATAGCATTGGCAAAGTAAGGTAAACCCAATCCTGATAGTTTCTCAGAAGCTTACAACACAAAAATAGCAGCTGCTGGTGCCTCATGGTCCAGTTCATCTTGTGCCATGTTTATGAGTAAGGCAAGCTGGTTAACATGACTATCATCACCCTTGTTTTCCCTGATTCTCATGCATAATATTCAAATCAGATCGGAACATGTAAAAAACATATGATGTAAGCATTTCAATGACTTTACTAAGTATAAGATTGACAGTGTTTGTTTTGCTGTATACAGTCTTATTGTTACTGTTACTGTCACAACACATCATGTAGCTGTCATGTGTTTCTTTGGATTCGTTACGAATTTTAAAAGGTC